GTAATTTGTCAGTTTGTGTACTGAGTGACCAGGATGGCTGGTATGCCTTGACAACATCTGCTTTGCAGTGAAGATTTAGGAATATTCAGTGTCTGCTGTTGTCCCTCTTGAGTTCTAGCCCTGTTTCTACAACTGTGAGGCAGACTGAGTCTAAGAAAATGCTTGGGATTTGGAAAGCTTGCTTTCTCATGTGTATTTTGAATCATGATGTGTTACTACTAGATGTCATTGTGCGTATTGGTGTATATCTATGCAGCAAATGCAGACATGTAAATGAACATCAGTGCTCATAACTTGAGCAGGTGCATATTTTAAAGTCTGTTATTTCTGCTTCTTGTTTTGTAAAATACTCTTTTTTTCTTCTGAAGTGCTCTGGAATTCTAGAATTGAGAGGTGGTAAATAATGCCAATAGTGGCTTTACTTAGTATTGTGTTACAATATGTATTTGGTTTTAAGATATCTTGAATTGCGGATCCAGTAAAAAATGAAATCTTATCCCAGTATCCCTACTTACAGTGAATGTTTTATGGCTTGCTATGCTTCTATTTTATCCTCCTTTTTATGCAAAAAGGTGTATTTGTCTTGACGTTGGCAACTTCTTGCACATGTCCTGAAATCATCAGCAAGAAATTCCAGTGGTTTTATTCTCAGTAGTTTCACTTGACATTTTTTGCATTGTTTTTCTGTGAGCGAGAATTTATGAATTAGAATTTTATCTATTTTAAGGTGGTGCTGAAGCAACAAAATCATTTAACTTGTGGTGATTTGCTTTGGCCATACATTTCTTTTGTTTATCTCCTTTCCATTTCCGTGTGTCTGATGCAGGTGTTAGATTCTGGTTGTCCCAGCTTTAAATGAAGTAGCTGGAATGAAATTTTAGCTCTTCTAATACTTGGCAATCACCGTCTGAGACTGTAGAGGGGCATTGCATAGGGGTAAACTTCATAGCCACTTTTATTGCCGTGCATACCTGAGGTAACATTGTCAGGCCTTTAGGACTGAATATTGTACCCTGAACTTTTAAGTAGCAACAGTTATTGCTCTGTGGGGTTGTTTTGTTGTTATTGTTTTTTTTTTTTTCCTTTTCTTTTTTGTTCTGTTCTATTTTGAAAAAGTTTCACTACTTTACCATTTTTTGCACTCAGAAGTTGTGGAAAAAATTACTTCTTTCTGCAAGAAGCCTATCCAGTACTGCATTATTGCATATCTGGTGTGGGAAACTGTCTCATGTGGCATGAATAGTTCGCTGAGGGTTTTGTAAATCAGCTGATTAAATGTATACTCTAAAGAGCATCTCTGTAGCTTCATAATGATACATCCATATGTGCAATAATTCTCTCTAATTTTGTTAAGCTGCTTCTATATTAAAAACAAAACAACAACAACAACAAACCAGCAGAAAAAAAGAAAAAAGGTGTATTAGGTCATTTAGTTCATCTGCTGCCAGAGGAGCAGCGTTCACTGCTCTATGCTCTACTGTTGTTCTGAGCTTTATCCAGTTTAGTCTGAAATGAATAGCAGACCGTGTCTAAATCAATAGCAGACCAGATCACGGTCCAGATACTTCAAAGCTATTTGAACTGTTAGTCTACACTGATTTTTTTTTTTTTTTTTTTCCCCTGGGAATTGGATGTCTCTACTTTTATAAAAATCTGGTTGAAGAAGATTACTCCTGTGTACTAAGTTTGTATTGTGACACAATGCAGTTTATTTAACCTAGTCTGTGTGCTCAAGGAAAAATCCAAAAGTGGGAAACAAACCAAAGCTGTCGTGACTTTGATTGTTTGAATGGAGACTTTTCAATGTACCCATCCTTTTAAATCATCAGCTGCACTATGACCACATGAGATACCTATGAGAGGAGATGAGGGTTATTTTCTTATTCCACAAATGAACAGAAAGCAAAATAAGCTTTAAGTTACAGTTTGACTGCTTGTACAATGAGATGTGTACGGCCATAACCTTAATTCACCCACGATGTAGCACAGCTGGGTTGTCTGCCTGTGGCTTCTCATGTGGCTCTTGCTCATGGGACAGAATTTCTCTTCAGTTAGTATTGTAAAATTATCACAGAGAACCTCCATGTCTTCTCTCTTTGTTTTTGGGAATTGGACTACGATGGGATTCACATTTGTCAGGTACATGCTGCCAGGTCAGAAGGGTGCAGCTGCAGAGGTAAAGGTCAAAGGAAATTATCAAATACATAAATTTAATTAGGGCTACTGGATTGCTAGCTGATTGCAGGGGTGAGAAGGTCATTGGTATTGCTCAACGACTGCCTTAGTTAGGTTGTATCAGTTTGTCTGATTGAAAAGCATTTGCAGGATAGGGAAATCAGCTGTGTGGGGCAGGAACAGAAATAGAAAGAATATTTTAAAAGCAGAAAGAGCAACAAAGGTCAGCTTGACTCTGCACCTAAATTTGGCAGCTGGGTGCAGAGCTCAGTCTGTAGGACAGCTAAAGAACTCATTTATTTGTGGAGTTACCTGAACTTTCATTGACAATATTCCCTGGTGCGTTCCTTTGCCATTCTGTTTGTACTTTCAGTGCACAGAATATTATTTTTTCACTTCTCAATACAAATGCAGTGTTCTGTAGCTTTATGATAAGAGACTAATTTAAGCTAGAAAAAAAGAAATTTTAAAAAAATTGTTTAGCAGGGAAAAAGGGCATTACATAATAGTATTTTCAACTCTTCTTCATTTGAGAATTCTCTATAATAATTTTCATATCTGGTGGATCGTGGTAGATGGTAAAGATTTTTCTCAGTGTTGTTTTGAAAGGTCAAGAAATGTCATAAGAAAAGACCAAAAGCACTTCATGTAAATCACTCCTGGAGCATAACCAAGAAGCTTTTATCTCCTGGCTTTGATTTTTTTTATTTTTTTATTTTTTATTTTGAGATCTGCAAGTAGCAAAGCCACTTTTTCCTCCACTTGAGGACAGGAGAGGAGAAACATAAACCAAGGGGGTGAGAGAGTGGAACACTTCCTTTTAAATTCATGTGAAATGTGTATGCCTGAGTACTAAAAGGATTCTGTTCATCTTGGCTTGAGGCTGGGAGATGACACCAACCAACTGGCTATCCTCAGGATGTTATCAGGAATGACCATACCATGTTTTGGTACCCCTGAGTATTATTGTAGTGTTGAGTAATTGGGGAAAAAAAAAAAAAGAAAAAAGAAAAAAAAAAAAAGGTGTTTGAAACATTTGTACTTCAAGTAAAATTTGTGAGGGTGACACATTCATATTTGCTTTAGAGAGGAGGGAAAGGCAGAGAGGGTAACAACAGATTAATTTATCAAGTGAATTTACTGTTTGTTTGGTTGGTTGGTTTTTTTTTTTCATTTTTCTCTCAGACCCAGATTTGATAGAAAATACCATTTATGGGGTTTGGGTTTTTTTGCATTTTGTTTGTTTTTCTTACAAACTGGTGTTCATCTATTTATTTTAATATTATATTTTTATAAGTTGTGAAATTTGTCAGGTAAGAAGAAAATTTCCATGGGAGGATGCTCATTGTACAGAATGCCTCCATTCGATCTGAATGTGTTCCCAAGTCTGAACAAGGGCCAGACTGCTCTCTCAGGTCTTAATCCTCTCAGCATTTAAACTCCGTGCTGCTCTGGCTCTCAGTGTGCTGTGTTATCTCTGCCTTAATATGGCCTCTTTCCCTGAGTGCTAGATTTGCCTTTTCTTCCTTTGGCTTCTGAAGTTCAAAGTCATGCTTTACCTTGACTCCCCCTCTGGAGGCTGCACAGGCTATTTTAGGGCATGTGCCCTAAAGTAAATGGAATCAGATTTTTCTTAAGGTCTTGAGCATGTTGATCAGTAGCAGAAGTACATATACAGGTTTAGGCAAAAAGAATAAATCCCTTGGATGTTTTTCTGAATCTAGAATCATAGATTTTTGTTAGAACAGTTTCTCACCTCGATGGCCGTTCTGCCACGTAACTGTGTTCACACACTGATTTATTTCCTTGAGTCTGCCTTTCTTCTTAGGCTGCCTATTTCCCAAGTGTCTGGACAGCATCCAAACAGAAGAGGCAACACACCTGGTTGGGCCTTTCCACCCTTATAGATACATGTCCTTTCAGCAGCACTCTGAAAGAAGATCATTAGAAAAACTCATCATCTCTCTCTGATCTAAACTTCAGGTCTTCAACTTCTTTTTTCACAGTTGAAAGTCTTAATCAAGAAGGGAGCGTGGTAGCCAGATTACCTTGGGGGCCTTGTTTTTGAGATTTCAGAGCTTTTCTTCTGAAGAAAAAATGATTGCTAACCTTGCAGCCAGATTAGCATTCAGCAGCACCTGAGAAGTCACACGTGTAGGACATGAACTACACACTGGCTTCTAAATTGTAGTTTTCTACATTTAGTTCACTAGAGAGGAAGACAGACCTGGAAAGATATGGGCATATGAAAGCTAGTCATCAAGGTTATTGGGTCTTGTAATACCTGAGGGAGTATCAAAGATTGTTACGTGTTAGAAAACCTCTCATCTTGTCTTGAAAAGAGAACAGAAGGTGAGCAGATGAGGTTTCTACCTCCACCCCATATCAGCATTTACAACTATATGTGCTGCTACTGCTCTGATAGAGAGTAATTAAGAGTTTGTAAGATAACTTCTGTGTCCAGCTTTGAAGAGCTGGTTTTTAGTTGTAACTCCACATAATATATAAAAGCAAAGCTTCACAAACTGGGATATGATTACACAGTGTTCATAGAAAATGATGTAATTCTCAGATTTGCGAATATGCAGTTTTCTGCTCTGTAGTTTAAAGTATTATTTTCAAGAGATTTCTTCTATTTATAAACTCCCAGAAGAATATTGTAGCAGTCAGCTGCTTGCTTCTCTTACGATTTGCTGTTATAGGCTATACAAATTAAACTTTGTAATTGAGATTCCTGCTTTGAGTGCTCTAAAAAATTGTCACCTCATTAAGTAATTGTGGTGGTTTTTTGTTTTGTTTTGTTTTGTTTTAATACTAATTTGCAGCTGAGAGTTACAAGGAAACCCAGACTGTAAAGATAAAAGAAGAACCAATGGAAGTTGACATTCATGATTCGCAGACTTCAGTGTCACCCAGCCAACCCAGCCAAAATGTTGGCTACAGCACTTTATTAGGGCGAGACATTAGTGAACACATCCAGAAGGCACCGGAAGGTCGTGTCCTCCCAGAGCGAAATCTGTTCAGCCAGGATATATCGGTGAAGATGGCATCTGAGCTGCTCTTCCAGTTATCAGGTAAAAGCAGTGGAAATAGTTGAAAGCAGAGTTTAAAGAGCAAAAAGAGATCGTGTATAATCAGTAAGGTGCTACGAAATATGAGATTGCTAAGGGTGAAGCATAACAGGAGGTAGAGCCCTTCTACCCTTGCATGTGAAATGCAGAAGTCTTGCCAAATGTTCCCCATAGATAACATATGTTTTAGAGCACTCTGACAGTCTGATCAGGTTCATAATATTTGAACTGAATTGGAAATGCCAGAGTTCAACTCTTGTATTTTTGAAGGCTAATTAAATGATTAGTGACAACTGGTTGATTGAGGCCTTGGAATATAAGGAAACATATAGGTAGTTACTGTCATAAATGGACAGTGTATAGTGCTCCTGAAGTTGTGCTGTCCATTTCTCTCCACACAGAAGGTCAACCACAGCTATTACATACATGCAGTGATTTGAGCTCTGTTTAATGAAAGCTTGTAGTGCACGTGGAGCACTGGCACTGAAATGTGAGAGTGAAAAAAATTGGTATGAGTTATATTTCTTAAAAAAGCTGTGCTTATTCTGAAATCATATTGTGACCACTTCCCCTTAAATTATTCTCTATTATACTGTAATCAGAAAGCATTAAAATAGTTCTGCTGAATAAAATTTGATACAGAAAATATGATATATCCTATAATCACAAAAAAATGTACATTCCTCTGCAGAAAAGGTGAGCAAAGAGCACAATCACAATAAAGATAACACCATCAGAACTACAGTCAGGTAAGCACAGTCTGTTGTTATCCATAAATCTGTAGTGTAAATGGCATTGCTGAGTTTTGCCTTTAAACTCGCATATGTCTCTCTCTTGCAAATATGACCTGATATTACAAGTGTAAGATATTTTCTTTTAGTAATGGAACCTGTGTGTGAGAAATGACACCAATAGATACGATTTCTTAGTGTCCATGTTGCAAAAGGCCTCTGGGCCAAAATGACTGTTCTCACAGTCAAGTATTCTCCCTTGGTTTTAAGAATTATTTTGTGTGTGTGCTTTTTTCCTGCAAAAACCAAAGCTTAATTGAAACTGCATAGTACATGCAGTGCTTGAGGGAAGAACAGGCTGACAACTGGATTTTAAGACGTGGACCAATGTAAGAAGAGGTGTTGTGATTCGGTCTTCTGTCAAACTTGGACTTCTTGAATAAAATTTCAGTTTAATATTTCTGAATCCTCTCAATGCCTTCCAGAGATGAATTTTTAAAAGTCTGTAAGAGACAATGCTAATGAAACTTTTGGTCATGATTACAGTCACATTAACACAATATGTGAAATTATGCAGGAATTAAAAATATGATTCAATTATAGCATGTGTTGTTAAAGAAGTATGCCCTTTACTGTATTTTGGCTGGGAACATGCTGACAAGTTGTTTAAATATGTGAGCAGCAAAGTGAGGTGCCCTAAGGGAAAAATTCAAAGCTATTGTGTAATAAGTGGCAGCTAGAATTGGTAAAAACTTAGGAGCCCTTGGTTAGGAGTAAGCAGGAATTGACTTGGGCTCTCATCTAACCCTTGAGACAAGGATACATACACACACATCCTCCCTGAAAGTTGTGTAGTCAGTGCGGGTGGTTTTGCAGACTGACTGTGGCTGAAGCATTGGAGAGTTCCTTCAGTGATAGAGTAAGACCTTCGGTGTCTCTGCAGCCCCTTCTGCAGAAATCCTCAGCATGTACAGTGTTTAGTAACTAAGGTAGCTTTGTCTAGACAGAATTTGAAAAGCATTTCAGTTGCAGAAGAAAAGGTCTCTGAAATGTGCTCATCTTAAATTCTTGACCCATCCCCTCCTTTCATGGTAACTGTAATAAATTTGTTTTTAATAAACTGAACAACCTAGTAAATGTCCATCAGGGATTTTTTGATGTTACAGGTTGAAAGAGAATTAAATCGAGCCTTTTAACTTCTGGTTATTGAGAATGCTTTTCATATTTGCTAGTTTGAGAACTTGTGGGATATGGAGACTGCACAGACTTCCCTTTACTTCTTAAAAAGCATAAGCCTGAAAGATACTTATACAATTGAATGCACATATTGTCCAGCTACTCATTAACCATCCAATATGTGTTGCAGGGAGGGGTGACAAATAGTTGGTAGAAAATAGATTTTAGTGTCTTGTGATATTACCAGCAGGACTGGTGTGAGAATCCAGAGCTACTTTTGGATCTATCAAAAATAGTTCAAACTGGAAAGGTTGAGGACAGTTCAGACAACCTTCCTTCTTACAAGGCTGCTGCCTTGTAAGAGAATAACACAGTTGGCTGTTGTCTAACTTCCACTGAATTGTACTGAGAAGTCCTGATAATGGCTGCTACCCATCAGTGTTTGAAAAGCAGAGTGCCCAACTGAATTCTTGTGGGTGCTTTTCTTCTCTTACCTATCAATCAATATGAATAAGAAGAGCTTCTTAAGGACAAGTGAGTCAGTCTACTAAATCCTGCGCGTTCCAACAGATTGACTCAAAAAGACCTTGCTGAAAAAAGAAACAAAGCACCCCAAACCAAGCAAACAGCTGGAAGTCTTTACTGGTAAGAGTACGGCACCTCTCAAAAATAGAATGTGATGGAGCAGCCAGTGGAGAATAGAGGCACGAAGGCTGCATTAAGAAAACGTGTAGTGTTGCAGTTTGGCTCACCAACCTACATCTGGAGTCATGACAGGAAGGCACTGGAATCACAATTGTTATGTGAAGTTTGCTGACAGCTGCAGAGTCAAGGTGAGGTCAGTGTCATCCACCTGTGAGTAATTGGGCAGTGGAGAGATTCAGCTGTGTCATTGGTGAGTGTCTTAAATCAGCCAAGTCCAGCAAGAAAGGGGTACACAAGCACTTCTTTTTTTATATCTTACTCCATATTAACATTTCTGTCTCCCGTCTGTTGCTATTCTTCCTGTGAATATTCCTGGACTGTGTAAGCATATACTTCCATATGACTTTGCTCAAGCAGCCAAAATTGGCAAGGATTCCTCACAGTTCAATGGCTGAGTGAGATGGTAGAACCTGCCATCTGTGATAAGAAGAAAGAAAGCGGAGAAGCAAATGATCTGGAAGTGAGTACACCAGCATGAGATGCCAAGATAAGTTTCTTTCATCTAGAGAACTGTGTAGACAGAAAACTGGAAAAGTGCAGCCAGAAGAAAAAAAAAAAAGTAAAGTTTAATCTTCATCAGAAGGAATTTTACAAAGTGACTGAGAACAACGTATGTAGTTTCTGAGTTGCAGGAACTCTCCGTTCATACTTTGGATTGAGAATTGGAGGGCATACCCACTGAAATAAAAACAATAATGGGCTGACGCTGAAGAGACTCATCTGCCATTCTAGAAAAAGGTTAAAAAAAAAAAAAAAAAAAAAAGGCATATCCAAGGATGGTTCTATAATTTTATTGCAGGCTGATGGCAAAGAGGGGAGGTCCTTAAGATAACAGCACAGTGCAGTCTTCAACCTACTGAGGATTTATATCCTAAACTAAAATAGATGAACTCTGTTGTCTAGGACTGTCTAGCAATGGACAGTGAGCCAGTGAGTGAATCTACAAGCAGGCAGTCCAGCATGGAAAGCTGAGTGGATTACATGATTTTGAAGAGTTGCCACAGTTACAGAGGTTCTTTTTATTGGTGTTTGGTTTTTTTTCAAATCATTATTAAGCCACCGAGAGGAATGTTGCAGGGAATTACGCCATATTTTTATACAGCGTCAGTCTGTTTTATAATATGTCACCCCTGAGGGGGAGTGTGAGTCTTGGAAAAGTGAACTTTTGCACATGTGGGCAGCAGCTCTTCACCATATTGTGATTAATCAGGTATCTGCATACAGTGAACTGCTCAGGTTTGGGGCAGCTTCATGCTTTTCATCCAGCTCAACCTATTTGACAGTTTATGGTTGTGTTCAAACTTACGCAGAAATAGCAAAATACCCCACTAACTGTCACATATAGAACAGCAAAAAATAAATAGTAATGAAAATCGAAACAAACAAAAAACCTGGTTTCTCAGCCTGTTGAGGAATCTCAATACGGACAGATCAGATTTAAATTAAATTCCCATTTTGCTTAGAAGAAATTCATCCTTCGTATGCAGACGGAATATAGTACATTAGAAAATAGCTGTCCAAAAAGAAGTACCCTTGTCCACTTTTAATTTTTTTATGTACTTCTTACCAATGTCTTTATTGTGGAGAAGGCATCATAGTTTCTGTTACAACATTCAATTGAGCAGAAAACAAAATACTTTCACAGAAATGCCCATTCACTATGGGAATTAATTTTTTACCGCCTGTTAATTAAGACCAAAGCATGATCTACTTTTTAGAATCAAGCAGCTGGTGATTTATGCTCTGTTTGGGAAGTCACCATTCAGTTAGATTCTATTAATTGTTTCCTGCTCTAAAAATCGAATTAATTGAGTTAGTTTTGTACATGGAATGCTCTGTCAATAGAGAACAGTTCAGCATCTCAACCTAAAATTTGAAAAGCTTTGTTTTGAATGTAATTACTGTATTCCTGAGGTTATTAAATACTTTAAAATATTTCATATATTTTCCACGTGTTTTAGGAGTAGAATACAGATTTTTGAAACATTAATTTTCTTTACCTATATTGTGATGTGATATAACAAATCTGAGTTGTTGAAATACTGTAATGAAAAGCATTTTGGGAGAACTTCAGTTTTTGCTCCACGATGCAGTTTTCCCAAAGCTCACCTCTTCTCCACAACTTACCTCACAGTCTGGTTGTCTTTCAGCATGAATTCCACAAATTAAGCAGGGCTTTTATTTATTATACTGAGAGGTTAAAGTAAAAAATATTGAATACTTACTTTTTCTATTAACTGCTGTTTTGTTTTACAAAAAGATGTCTTATTTCCCCCATAGCCCTTACTTTTCTGAAGACACTTTTAGACAATCACCATTCACTTCCAACTCAAAAGATCTCCTGCCTAATGAAACTGCTCTTCATGGAAGGACATCTGCACCAGGTCAGACGCCTTTTTTTTTTCATTAGTTCCTAAGTTGGTTTTTTTTTAGTTCATAGTTTTTAAATTATTGTTATTTTCTTACTGTCAACATCACCATTTGACCACTGCTCTTAAAATGTAGTTGCTTTGTCAAAGGACAACTCTTCATCACAGTAAATACTTACTATTAAGAAAAAAAAAATAAGTGCTGCTGAATTATTTGTGTTAATTCTTTTTGAGCAACTATTTCTGTGAATTGTAAAAGGCCAGAACGTCCATACAACAGATGAAATACAGCAATGTTAACAGAAGTGGGGTTTTTGTGTTCATGTATGTCCCGCATTTAAAGGAACTGACATCTGATTACTACCTGCTCTCTTCCTGTTACTTGCTGCTCCATCTCTCACAATACAAATGAAATGTTCTCAATATATGTATCAGAATGGCTGAGCTTGGCAATGCAGTTTTCCCACTTTAGCAGTTATTTAAGAACCTGTTTGGAAAGATGTGGATTTCTTACAACGTATTGAAAGGACTTAGTATCTGTGGGTGCAGTCCTACTGATCTTCAGAGCTAGCTGACAGGCGTTTTATATCCAGATATAACCTGGTTTATATTCTTAGTTAAAACAGAAGAGGCAGATGAATCCCATTACCTTCCAAGGTGGCACTGAATATATGCACAAACTTGATATGTGTCTTTACGGTCCTGCTGCAAAATATTTCGTCTGCTAGTTCACTGGTATCTGCTCTTAAATTAATAGCTCTTGAGTTCTAAAGGTCAGTAATTACACAGCCAGCCGTAGTGGGGGTTATTCACCTTTCCTTAGCCATCAATAAAGTTTTGGGCATGTTACTGCTAATTTTCAGCTATAGACTGTCACTTAATTTACAACTTAACAGACCCTTCTTTTTTTTAATGCTTGAATAGTTATTTGACAGCTTCTGATGTGGCAGATGAGGTGAAGAACTAGATGTTGTCTAAGGGTAAATACGCATGGCAGAAAAGGAATAAGATTTGTAGCATAAGAACAAGGGTCTTCAGGCTATCCCCAGCCACGCTTTCTCAAGGATGTAGCGGTTTTTGTAAACCAGGACTAAGAGAAGCAATGATACTTTTAAGTACTAAAATGTAAACCAGATTAGCACTTCAATTCTGGCTTTTGACAGTGACATAACATAGAATATTCACATACCCAGATGACAGGCAAGAACTCTTGGACTCCTTGGGCAATGCTCAGTACCTCAGAGGATGTGGCTTCTAGCAGTAATGCTCTTACATCATACCGAGATGGATGCATAAGAATTCTAATTCTCTATAAGACTTTAAGTGAGGCCTTTTAAACCTACAGATGGATTTTGGTGACATGTTTAATCTCATGCCTAAGAGATGTAAAATATCTAGTTGGTTAGGACATCCTGGAGTGTTAAAATGTGCGTAGAGGAAATGTTTTTTGTATGTTCGTGATTCGTGGCATTCTGCTTCATAAAATGTGAGTAATAACTGGATGGGTCTGTGAATTGTAACACTTACTGCTCTGTGACTATTATTACATAATATACGTAATAGCAGTATATATACAGAAAATTAAAACTATACGAAGTTATTTATTTATTTGGAACAATGCTATCATGCACTTTCTCAGCTTCGTAAAAAATTCTTGGACCTGAACAGAAACTTCACAGTAGCATCGGGAATGTTATCAGATTTTTAAAAATTGGTTACAAATGTGATATTCATGTAAAAGAAGGTAGAATACCCACAGATAGATTTTCTATTAGTTTCAGCCTCACAAGAAGAAATTATCTCTGAGGTGCTATGGATAGCTCAGACAAAGCTTAATCCCTGCCGAGAGTAGCATAAAGGAGCAGTAACAAAACATTGTAAAAGCCAACAGGATGTAACAGAAAATGCTGTGAAAATGTGTATGTGGCATCACGTGGATAAATGCGTGCCTTCAGTTGAGATCTGTTTTATTTCATCTCTGAAATAGGATAGTAAGAACTAGAAGAGAACAGCATACAGAATGACAATTAATTCAGTTCATCTACTAAAATACAAGCAAATCAATTGCCAACAGCCATCAGCATTCAGTAAGCAGTATCCAAGTCCCACATCCAGAAATGCCAGTCTGTATCACTGTCACCAGAATTAATGGGGGCTGATGAACATGTGTGGGGTCTGAGCTGTTGCTGTGCACTGTCTCTCTATGGAGAGACATGACTCAATCAGGCATAGCAGCATGAGGAAAGGAAGGCTTTGCTGCAGGATGGTCTGGGTGACCTTGGTGGAACTTCACGTACTTGCCTCTTTTCAAGAGAGAGCATCAACAGAAATGGCTATATCCCTAGACTCTTGGAAACGTTCTGTGTGCAGTCTTCTTGGCACCTTAGCTGAAGCAGAATTGGGAAAAGTGACAGGAACATAGGACAGTCAGATATCTCATGTGTCAAGTTCAATTCTTTTTTATAATAGGTAACAATATTATGTAATATCATTCATTTGTTTATCAAGCTCTGTTTAAAATCTATCATCCTTATTATTTGTACAAGAACACTGTTTCAGAAGCTCACTCTTTGTAAGAGCTGGACCATCTTCAGCCAAAATTTACTCAAAGCAAGTTCTACTATTTTTCTTCTATCAATGCTGTCCTTCAGCTGTGATAATTCTTCTCTTTTGTGGGCTTATTTGATATGCCACCTTATGTCCCCTTAATCTGGTCTTCATTTTTGGAAAAGTAAATCGGTCAACATCTTCCAGACTCTGTTAATATGACAGAAATTCCATTCCTTGACCAACATCATACAGCATGTAAGAGCAGTTCTTGTTGCAACTTCATAAGTATATGACCTTTTAATTTGAATTGTATCAGTTATTATTGTAGCTGTCAAAATTATTTCTTTAATACTCTGAAATTTCTGCATATTTCTGCTTTTTTTTTTTTTTTTTTTTTAATGCAATGCTGGTTTTTTCATGTTGAAGATACTAAAGAGGATTTTTAAGTATGGTTAGTCCACAGTTCAGTCTGTCAGACCACGCGGTAGCAGGCCTTCAGCCCAGTGCTTTCCTTCTTAGTGCAATCCAATTCTCTTCATAGTCAGTTTATTAGGAAATTGCAAGATCAGGAATTTAAGAGGAAGAGCGCACTTTGTGGGGCATTGAGTATACAGGATCCTCAAAGAGTATGAAAAAACTAGGAAAGACCTATTAGAAGATGTGTGAAAGCAGTGCACTGATTGGGGCACTTACGGGAGGAAATAAGGGCCTGAGATAAAGGTGAAATAATCCTGATCAGCAGCAATATTGCAGGCAGGATATGTAGTTAGTGTGATCAGTAGAATAAGTAGTTAGCAGCTTTTAAGTCTGGTAACCAGGGAAAATAAATTTCCCAGGTCTGTCAGAAGGGACTCAGTGGTCCAGCAGAAGTAATGATAACTCCCTGATAATCTGTGGTGGACTGTTAATAATTTGAGAAGAAAATAAAGCGATTTCCTATAGTTCAAAAGTATTGGATAGATTTGGGGAACTACTCTTCTTCCTTCCTAAAGTGTTTCTTAGTTTAGTAAGCATACAAAGTTAATTGCAGATGTGTAGACTTTTCTGGATTGCTACCACTATCCATAAAAGTTCACTTTTCCTCAACAATTAAAATAAATACTGAAATATTGCCCACATCAAACACAGTTTGCCAAAGAATTTCAGTAGTATCAAAGCTGCAACCAATGCAAAAATACATTCAAAACAATTTAGTAGTTTCAGCCTTTTCCCTTAAGAAGAGCAAAAATAAATGACCTTTTTTGGCTTAGCAAAATGTAGGGAGAAGAAATGAAAATATTCTTTTCAAATAGTTGCTTTAAAAGGGCATTTTTATCCCTTGTTTTATATGACTGGTTTCTTTTGACAGAAAACAGTCCAACTGTAAGTCAGACGGTGTAGGTCAGTCGAGATCTCTAGATAAATTAAATACTTGATCTTATACTGGTGTTCCTGACCCTCAGCCAATCCTTAATGTGTTTTAATAGTTTTCCACTATCTCACTGACTCATTCTGTAAATCAAACCTGCCTTCACGAAATCCAGATAGGTGACATTCGCTGTTTCTTTTTTAGTGATTTCATGAATATTGTCAAAGACTCCACTCATGGGTTTGGGGAGTATCTTTTTCTCCACGCGTATCTGCATGTAGTATTAGAACATTTCATTATTTTCTCTGTTGCACGAAGAAACTTCTACTCTCCTTCACTTACATTGCCAACGTGCAACAGTGAAACAGTTGAATCTATAGATAATAGTCTGGTTATGTACAGTAGAGTTTGAGGGTGGTGAATCTTTTCCTGCCTCCTAAGTCGCGCCTCCCTTAGTCAGCAGGGATCACTACTGCTATGGAGTCATGCAAGACTTGGAGGAATAATGCACATCAATTTACTGACAGCTTTCTTTACAACAGCTAGTATTCTACTTGGAAGTAAAATTGATGCATTTGCTAATTATGATTAATAAGCATTACAGGTAAGAGAATATTAGGCAATGGCTACTTCAAAGAGTAAAAGAATAAAAGAAGAGGGGAAAAAAATGATAGAAAATGCAACCAGATGTACAAACACAGCAAAGCAAAGTGCCTCACCACTCCTCGATCCAGCGATGTCTTGGTGCTAGGTGCATGTCTTGGTGCTAGGTGCTGATCTGCTTTAGTGATGGGTTGTTGGAACTTCTGTTGTTCACTTGACAAATACTCACAATGACAGTACAGACTCTTACTTATAGTCCAAAGTGATCAAGCCTGTTCTTTTGGAGTGATAGCTTCTGGCTTTGGTGTCTCATCAGGAACTCTTTTGTTCCTGTCTTCCAGACCTTGCAAATTTAAGTCAGGAAATCAGAGGAAGCAGGTAGAGGCCAGCTGTCTTGCCTTCACAAGATACAGTTAAGATCATTACCCAATCTCCTGTATCGAGCTACTTTCATTTTCTTCCAGGCCAAATCTTGAGCCAATAAACACTCCTTGATGCTCCCTTTTGAAGGCAA